CGTCTGACTAGAAATCAGATTCCCTCTGGGAGCGTAGGTTCGAATCCTACCGACTGCGGTAAAATTTTGTGATATATTAGTCGTGCATGTATCCCCATAAATCACAATATATATTATGAAGGGCACACGGGGGAAAAACGGCAGTAGAGTGAGTCACGTTATGAAATTTTTTTTTTCAAATATTTTTTTTTCAATTTATGCCATTCATTTTAGCTTCGATGCCGAACTGAGAAGGTTTACAATGATGTGTTTTTATTTTATTTTATTTTTTTTAATTTTTGTGTCTGGACCCACGATATCTCGTAAACCGCTGAACCGATTTTTTCGTGTAGCAACTCTATAGATCAGAAATCATACCTGGAAGGTACTTTATCGGATCAAAAATTTAAAAAAAGTCACCCCTTCTCCATCAAAATCGAGAAAAAAACTCGAAAAATTTACTAATTTTTCAACTTAAAATTACGATGCTCTATAACTTTTTTAAAAATAATCGAAAATGTTCCAAATTTATATGAATTGTTCTTCAAACATCAGTACTATCGATAAACATTAACAAACCAAAAGCATATCATAAACCCTTTCCCTTAGAAGGGATAGAATTTTTTTCTCTATTTCACTTTTTCAAGCAAGGTTTTAGAGATTTAGATGTGAAAATTAGACCGAAGGTAGATCTAAAATGGAACTATAACATGTACAATTTTCTCAAAAATCTGTAGTCAAATTTTTTTTTTATTAAGGAAAAACCCCAAAAATAGGGTAAATTTACACTTTGGCCGTAGTCAGTTTCTAGGTTGCTATGTGCGAGTGAATCAACAGTCAACAGGTAATGAAAATATTTTTATTATATTGTTAATTACCATATATGGGTAACTATGACAGTACATTTTTATAGACAGACGATCAACCCTTATCGTATCCACCCTGCACAAGACTAAATATTAAATTTTAAGTACATTATTGCTGGTCCCACGATATCTTCTAAACCGCTATAACTGATTTGATCATACTATCCACAGATTCGCATCGAAGCGTTTATTTTAAAAGTGATTTTATCACTTTCAGTTATAGTAAAATCTGTAGACCTGTGACCTCTCCGTTCCCACTATGCCCCGACTCCACTGTACTGGCTTTTTTCAATTTATGTCAATAGATTGTTTAAATAAATACATTTTTTATTAGAATAGCATTTATTGTGATTTTTTTTTGTTCTTATGAAAGAGGGAGAGGAATTCACGAACTTTGTTTTTGCTATACTCTACAATTTTCATAATGTGACTACTACCGTTTTTTCCCCTGTGCCCTTCGTATAATAACAATATGTTATATTATAACTTTTTTTATTATTTACATAATCAAGTGAATTTAAAAAAAAATTCTTTTCACCTTTGATGCCATTTTCAAACCTTAAACTTAACCTAACCTAACCCCGATTAGGCCAGGTTTGGCACAAATAATGGTATAGGTATTAATCGTTCTTACAACTATTTAAAACTTGCACGATTTGGTTAATTTTTCAACAAAAAAAAACTATCTCAATATCGATAGCGTTTCAAATATGTATGTTATTTTAATTATACAGGTTAAAACCGCGCGTGACCCAAACCGCATTATTAATAATAACTATAAATTAATTATCTCCAAGTTGTAAATGGATATGATTATTCCGAATGATTTATTTGATCCAAATTCGCGTTACATAATGAATAGCTGTCAATTATAATATCATAATAATATTATTAAATACACTTAATATTAACATAGTAATATAATTATTATTAGTACACATAACTTGAATGAAATATACACCTGCGACTATTTAGCTAATTGTAGATAATCAAAGCTAGTAATGTATTTATTAATATTCCCCGGTGCAACCTTAGGCTACAATTAATTTTAATGTTAAGATAATTCGTACAAATTACTAATATTGTCTATATTATTGTGTAATGGAAATTTAATGACTTCATTTTTATGATTTCTTTACTATATTACACAATTTTTATGGAAGATAATCAGCTCAACATTTTCGATGAAAATATATTTATTCTATTATTTGTTTTTAATATAAAATATATATTATATTATAATATGTATTTTTTTAAATGTATTATTTTTAAAAAACATACTTAATAAACCTAATATGAAATTTTGTAACTTGGGCATTATTTATTCTATAATAAAAATATGATACTGTTTGTTCTGTACTAAAAACTACTCGAATTATATGCAAAGTATACATAATTAGGAATTTTACAGTTTATTAAATGAATTATAATCGCTGATTCTCTTATTGTGCAATTGGTGTTCACACTGTTTAGTGAGCCTTGTCAGGAAACGTTTTAAAAAATCTTTTACCGATTTTCATGCTATGTAAATAAATAATTGCATACAGGTCCGTGAACTCACTGTTATGATATATTGTTCTCATTTTTCTTATTGTCAAACCTTTTATACATTTTAAACGTCGTGAAAAATTAATGGAGAAAAGTATGAACCGTTTAAATAAGGCGCTATTCGTTTTCTTTATTGTTTCTTTTAAACTCGAGATAATGTAACACGCAGTTAGTAGAAATAAGATATCACAAAAGTACGCTGTTGATTAATGATTATTTTACAGTGTTCTAAGCTACTTAAGCTTAATGTTTGTTTCAAATTTCAAAAAACCGTCTTAAGATGAAGCAGAGATATGGGGGTGAGTACAGCAGGATGGATGAATTGGTTTGTGTAAAGATACATTGCACAGATAGAACAGAATAGATTTACACATTTGTTTTTATGTGCTGTATATTACATCATATTATGATACCTGTTGATTCATTCACAACCTGTACATTTAATATACCCCACGAGTGCGATTTTTTCCTTAAAAACAAATTGAAGATTGATTTTTGAGAAAATTGCATGCTATAGCCCTATTTTAGATCCGTCTTCAGTCTAATTTTCAGACTAAAAGTCCTAAATAAAAAAAAAGGTTCCACTTCTTCTGGGGGTTGAAAAATTAAAAAATTTGCAATTAGCAGTTTTTTAGCACGTTACTGAGAGGAAAAAAGTAAGTTTTCTGCTGTAAAGTATTATATGACAATAGTGAATAGTCATTATTATTGTACAATATTATTTAATAATATTTCAAGCAAATTTGATAATTATATGTATATAGGTTATTCTATTATATAAAGCAAATACTAGAGCAGTGACTAAGAGTATATGTATAGTTTCTTAAAAAATATGATAAACGCAAATGCGTAAGCGATTACAGCTGATAATGTTCCGTTAGTCATCGAATATTGTTTTTGATGATCATCAAACATCATCATTATGAAAAGATTTTTAGATTTTAAACCGAGTAGTGAACATTTGAAATGGACCAATGCCTAGGTATTTTTTTTTATACAAAATTATTTTTTACAGTGTCACTTAATAAGGAGTAATAACAGCTGTACAGTAAATTTGAAAACTTTCAATCAGAGGACTTGAAACTGTTTAAAGTTTCAAACGATGGTAATTTTTAACCGATTTTTAATCATACTCACACGGTAAAACTTATTTTTATTACATTATTTGTACGTTGGAGGAAGTTTTTTTATTTTTAATTAAAATATGAAAGTTAACGTGAATAGCCACTAAGTGGCTACTTAGTGTTGATTTTCAAATATGTGTTTTATGGTTTTAGTTCGTTTGGGTTAGTAAACAAAATATATTTATAGTATTATTAATTATCATACTTCTAGAAGAATATAAATATAATATATATTAAAAAACGCATAGCTTGAAATAAACATTACTGTTTTTTAAAACTAGTTTTATACACCTATTGATTTATATTTGTTGGTCGCTGAATTGAATACAAACATCTATGCCATTTAGTATCATAACTGGTTTAGTACATACCTAACCAGAAATAACGTCATTCAATGTTTTGAGGTCATGTATTGCGATTTATTTTACTTAACTTTGTCGTTACTTTTTAAAAAGCCATTCCGTATTAGTTATTACTATATTGTTTAAGTCATACAACTGAATTCAAACTTTAGGTAGTACAAAAGTTTTGCTTAATGCAGGGTGGGGGATGAGTGGGGTCGGTTTATGTCTATCACATAAACCATTTAGTTTGCTATAAGTAATTTAAAGTGAATTTTACACTGGACTGCTGCATTACATAAATACTTCACAGGTAGCGTACATCTGGCCTTATATAATTTATTAATAAACAAATAAAATGTCAAACTTTGTGCAAATAATTAAAGCATACCGGGAATTGGCACTAGTTTTTTGTCAATATAATACCACCCGGTGAAATAGGCTGTTGGCAAAACACCGCAATTTTGGTGTTTTGCCATTTTTCCGGTCGTTAACGATATAAAAGGTCATCGATTTGTAACAAATAGGTTAAAAGTCGATGCTGAAAACACTTTTGATCTGTTCTGCTCTCTCTGTACACTCGTGTGAACACATTTCTGGCACGACGTCTGTTCAATTGGCATTCCTTTTAAATGTCACACGAATGTTAGACTTTTTGATGGAAAATTAATTTTAAACGATAAAACTCACCCGACAGTATTGTGCTACTTTTTCAATAACAATCATTACTCGTTAGTATTTGTCAACACACGTATCATTTTATTATGTACACATATTATTGTTTGATTCCTTAAAAGGGCGCCCTACCTTTTATTTATTTTTTTTGTGTAAATTATATAGCAAAATATTCGTTCAATCGACCTACAAATTTGTTGACCTTACATGGACAATTTGTATAATTGTAGTACAGTGTACACACGGTAAGAACATGTTATGTTAACATGTTTTTTTTTGTTCGACACTTTCAAAGCACGTTTATGTTTTGTCTGTCGTTTGGTTAATGATATTTATCAATTCGTGTTGACAAATTGTTGACGAGATCTTTATGTATTTCGAAACAACTCTGTCCTTATTTATATTATTATTATATATAATGTGACCACGTGTGAACAAATTTAATGCAAAAAACATTTTTATTTTAGGTGCAACAACGGTTTCGTCGCCATCACTGCAAACGGTGGTCAAGTACTGTGTCGTCGACCTCTTTGAATGATACTGACAAGCTGACATCGATCCGACCTACCTATGACGATTCAGGTAATTGATTGTGGACGTTTGAATAATAGGCAGCTAAACTATAATACTACTATCACTACTATAAACAATAGGTACATCTAGGCAATCCAAGATTATCGAAGAAATGCTATTAGCTTATATACGTGGTATGAAGTAACATTGTTGTAATACTCTTATCGTTAAGCCGTGTTTGTTTTTTATGTACAGAACTTAAATTGGTTCTATATATATATGTATACAATTAAGTTGTTATCATATAAAGGGTAATTGAATTTCCTGTCGTTATTATCTTTCTTTTTCTGACCGTACAAGTATCTAACTCGAAGCTTAGACCGAACCTTAATTATTTTGTTAAAGACTATTTTCTAATATTTCAACTGTATTAGTTTAATTGTGTAATTGTTCTTTCCTTTTTTTCCTGTATCGAGTTCATAATTATTACTATTATAGGCGAAAATAAAAAATATATTGACATTAGGGGCTTGCGAAAAATTTGCAATCTGAGTATGTTTTAACTTAAAAAAAACAGCAATAAACGTACATCATAATGCACGTTTCATGCATGTCTTGGTTACAGTTTTGGCGACTGTTCAAGCATTCAAAGTATTCACTTTAAACTAGTATGATATAATAATATCTCTGTAAATATATTTCATGAGGACGACAAACGCCCACTTTGATCTGTGACTACTAAAATAAAGAGCATCGTCCAGCTCGAATTCAGTTAGTTAAGTTAAAGTAAATTAACTTTCTCATTTTGCTTAGCCTTTTTAATTTTAAAAATATATACAAATATTTATAAAATTCTTTTAGCCGCTTTGGAGTATAATAATTGTGTTTACTGTGTACAAAAAAAAAATACTATTCAATTTAATACATTTGTTTTTTAGTATTATACATTTATTAAAGAATAATACTATACCTATTTATATTTGAATTGTATTTCCTAAACGATTTTTCTTTGCAGGGTATATTTATTTTTTTCCGTTTTCATTATTATGTTACTAGATGGTATGTATTTATAAAAATGTCTACTTTCTATTACGGTTTTTGTTAAAATGACAAATTAACGTAAACCGCACCTTTTTGAATTGTTGCCATTTACTTGAAATGTGTAGACTACACAGAGTAGTCACAGGAGTAAAAATTTATGGGAAAAAAATACTGATGACTACAAAAATAGACAGTCAAATAGACTGTCGTTTACCTACTTACCTACTAGAAATGTAGGTATGACGTTATGTTATTTTTTATTGTAGACAATGTCTGAATTATTCATTAATACATTTTTTATATAATTTTAATTTGTAGAAAATGTGCCAACAGCGCTTAAACTTTATTTTTAGACAAATTTAGTCTAATAAATAAATAAAAGTGCACGCGAATAAATAGTAGTAATAAATAAAATATACAAAAATTGTATTAAAGCGTTCTGTAAAATAAATGTAATAATATTTTATGAGTTTCGTGATTTTGCTGGCTTTATTACTTTTATAAAGTCATCTCGTCCGAGGCTTTAATATCCCTGTAATGTTCTTTGTGTCAATTTGACTGTCAAAATGTAAGTTTCAATTGAAAAAACAACAATAAGTACGTCTTATGTACACTCATAGATAACTGGTCTTTTTTTTTTTGTTTCGCGTTCTTGGTATTGATATAGATATTAAATGTCGTGAAAGGTATTTTTTACTTGAAGCATGCCATTGGGTAATAACTAATAACATGTTTTAGCTTGAGTCACTAAATGTTGTGTATTGATTACTACTATCCCCCATTTGAGTTAAGCTCAATTCGTATAAAGCTATCAGAGAGTGTAAAATTTAATTATGAAATATATTGTTTCTAGTAAAATCACATCTGTTAAATTAAATTTGGACCCCCCCCCCCACTGAGTAAAGCCGTATTTCTACTTAATTCAAAGTTCTTCCAACTATATCTACACCATAATATCTATATACTGTAATATTATTTTATACTACTCAATAGTGATATTTATTATTGCGTTTATAATCAATGACTGTAGAGTAGAATGTAATCTAGCTCATCACTATGAATGGAATTCCTATCAATATAAAGCGAACAATATTGTGTTCAATTAATTAAAAAATAGTTACCAAACACGAGTATTTCAAACCGGTGCAAGTAGTCAATATATTTTTGTTTATTCAGCATTAATTATCTAATTATTGATTCTATAATATGAGCTAATTTATATACACTGCATGAGTATAGTCGTATGTGATACATAATGATTTTAATGAATTACCTCTAAAAATCATCAGATTACAACAACTAAATTTATAAACCTCATTAAAAATAAAATAATAAACCCAGTTGTTGATATTAGAATAATTCGGTAACGTTAAACTGTTAGCTTAATGATAAAGTATTGTGTTTTATTTTATGTGTATACTGATTTGTTTGTTATGTCAGCACTATTATTATTAATAGTTTTCAAAATGTTTAGCTGCATGTTTTAAATGTCAGTATAGAGACTTTTTTTCATTCATCACACACTTACTGATTTAAATTACAGAAATATAAGAGCTTTTAAAGCCACAACGTTGTTGTGTTGAATAGTTACTATTTGATATTCACTATACACAAGGGATACATGCCTGGTGAATGTAAAGAGTACCGCGATAACCCTCCAAACTACTCACTTCACATTTTCTCTGTATTCATAATAAAACACGGTATAATATTTTTATTAACTCGAGTATCACTTGAGTTGACTTACTTTTTTACAATTTTTATTTATCATACTTTTATGATTTTTTCTTTTCATAACATACAAAACTATTTCAAGTAGTTTTTATTAAAAAAAAATAATTAGTTTTTCAGTTCTTTCAACATTTGATACTTTTTTACACTTTTCTTTTTCTGGTACTCACTGTGAAAAGTCTATATGTATGCAAATTGAATTGAAAACATCATCGTGGTAGAAATACATGTTATAGGTACAGTACACATATTTTATAATTAGTTTAAATTTATTGACATTGATATTTAAGATTGGCACATTTATGTTCAACCTGAATATAGAGTATTTTTATATATATATATATATAGGAAATACTTAGTCTTAAAGTATACATTAAAGTTTATAAGATATTCGAATACAATAATATATTTAACAATGTATAACTTTTAGTTTCATACACGATACGATTAAAAAGATAACGTGCATATGCATAACATTATTATATAATAAATATTGGCGTCTCAATACTAACGTTAAATTGTTTTGTTTGTATAATATGGTGAACGGAAAATCAATTTCCTTTAAAATAATAAATTTGTTAACATAAGAAGACGAACATAGGTAATAATTATTGTCTATTTGTATTGTTCTCGTCCAACACTTGGAACTCTTCGAATTCCATATCGAATACTGGCACGGTGCTGATTTTCTTCCTGATCACTATCAACGCTTTCCACGACAATTCGTCAGAAGAAGAACTGCTGAGCTTAGAGCAGCATCCATCCTGGTCAGCAGCAGCAGCAGCACCCCTGGGACCGGACGCGTCCCGGTCGTCTTCCTCTTCTTCCTGTATGGCTTCCACTTGTTTTTCGCCACGCTTTATTTCTTCCATCAGCTCCATTCTACTGCCGCAACTGTTGCTCTTGACCAACCTGAGTTTAACGTTCTCCTCTTTCTGATGTCTGATCTCGTCCATGATGGTCATGGTCATCGGACTGCACACGGCCCCCCGGCTACTGGATATCACTTTGCCGCCGTAGTACGTGATGCTGGTGCCGAATTTCCGGATTTTGTTGAGGATTTCCGCGGATACGGGTCTGCCCACCAACTCCAAGGTGGTGGTGGTTTTGTCGGCTGCCGAATAGTCCTCGTCGTCGCTACTGTACCGGTCGCCTCTGGTGTGGTTCTCGGACGACGATTCGGTGTCGAAACTGGCTTCACTGCCCACACCGGAAGAAACGCTTCCGGTGTCCGTCCATCTGTTGTGCACACTGGTTCCCATGTCTACAGACACGCACTTTTGGAGTTTCGGTTTTGGACTCGAGCAGTCGGCGGGCACAAGGCGGACTTCTTGCGTGGGTCTCGGTGCCGTCTTGGGGTTTTGATTGTTCAGACTGGGGGGAAGAGGGATTTTCAATTCTTTCTGGAACAGCTGCCTGGTACTCTGCACCTTGTCCGGGTCCGGCAGCTCGTTGTCGTTGAGCTTTTTGTTCGGTTTCAACGGATGGTAGTAGAAGTGTTTTTTCAACGTTTCCGTGTGAGATTTGTTGTTTTCTTTGGCCGCGAGGAAGTCCACCGATTTCGGCCTCTCCAACGGCGCCTTAGGAGGTTCTCCGCCCAAGATAGAACCGCACAAATCCGACTGCGATTTGTATTTGACATTATTGCGCGCCTTTGCGGTTTCTCTGCCTAGTGTCAAATTTATAGCGCTGCTGTATCTCTTGGACGGAGTCGCGTCCACCACGATCGGTTTCTGACGACGATTGTCTCGTTTGTCGTCGAACAAGTGATTTTCCGAAGTGGCTTTTGACAACAAACACTGCGGCGGCGGTTTGTTCGGCGGGATTCCATCAACCGGCTCGTCTTGTAAGTTAAACAGACTTCTAGACCTTACCACGACTTCCCGGCGGACTTCCGGGTTTCCGGGCTCGTACGTCAATTGTTCTTCGCGGTAAGTGTTCCAGTTGGACGATTTGGGCATGTTGTACATGAGGCGGTTCTGCATGACTCTTTTGACGATTTCTGGCGACTTAAAGCTCTCCCCGTCGTCATCGTCATCATCTTTGGTTTGGACATCATAATTTCTGGCCTCCGTGACCGTTTCGCCCACAGTGGTTTGTAAGGTAACTTGGTGTGTCGTGGCGTTCTCGTCTATGCACTGGAATCCGGTGATTTGCAACGTTTCCACTTCCGAACAACATGTGGCGTATGCACTTTGACTCGATTCGGTGCTGCTTTCACTGGCATCAGCTGCTGATTCTCGATTGTTGCTCTCGTCCGACCTTACCATTTCCCTGTAACGTTTCCCGAACGGTCTTGTCGTAGAGTTATAAATTTCGTACCGGCTCGTGCATCTGTTTGCTTGTCCAACTCGATTGAAACGTTTGGCTGCCGGAGCGTTCTGCAACACGATGATATAGAAATTAGTTAATGATAAATTGTCCATTCAGACGTATAGTGATTTTTTTATTTATTAAATGTAACACCCCATAGGGGTATAATTACAATTATTTATGACGCGGCACTCCGGACTAGATAACACATAGTTTTGATTGGAAAAGGGGGGGGGGGCAAACGTTAGATTGTTTCTGGTATTGAAAACAGGAACTTAAAATTTAATTTTTTTTTAGGAATTCAGGGCAATCAATGTCGCTTTCCATTAGTTTCGTGACAAATGCAGACGTCGTTTCTGCAAGGTGATTAAACCGCAACGCTTCAGGACTACCTCAGAAGATTGACCTGCCATTCCTACCTTATAGGCTACCATTCTAGAGAACCGTTTCTGTACTCGCTCTAACAATTTTAATTTGGCCAATTTGTGTAGGATTCCATATAAAATACTACCATATTGCAGTATTGACCTAACAAGAGAGGTATATAGCGTCACTAGACATCTAACGTCAGAGAACTCCCCACAAGTTCTTTTAATACATCCCAGGGTTCTTAAAGTTTTTCCATATACTTTGTTGATGTGTGTGCTAAAAGACAGGTCTGATGAAAAGGTTATCCCAAGATCATGTATACAATCAACACGTACCAGTTTATCGTCACCGATATAGTACCTAATTAGTCGCCTAATTTAGAACAATTTGCAATTTAATTCGATTCAAATTGAACATTATTTAATCTTTACATTACATTGTAATGTGTATGTAGCGATAGAGTTTCTGTATGTAATTGTTTAAGAGGTCTTTAGAAGTTTTATTTTTTGCAGCACTAAGGGGATCCAAAGTATTTGATCATCAATCGATAAACCATCATTTTTACAACTCTCAAACCTGGCAAATCCTGCAAATCCTGGTTGTAATTGCGCATTACGCATTGTCGATAAAGCCTAACTTGAAGGGAAGAATTATCTCGGTCATCGAACTAAGCTGCATTACCTCGTTTGGGATGTACTGCCGGGGTTTAGGTTTTAATACCGCCGACGACGACGCCGATCTTGCCTTAGACCTGGAAGGTGTGTCCATGGTTTTTTTCTTGCTTTCGTTTTCCAATTCTTTTAACATGCGACTAATAAACGAGAAAAAAAAACGATTAAATCAATTTTATTCAATCATTTAGTGTCCCTATTATCTAAATAATTTAATGTAATTTAACATATTGTTATAGTGTTTTAGAGTGTCTCATAAGAAAACAGAGCTCGAGCTTTTAATCACTTATGAGACGACGTTTTATGTACATTATTCGTGCCACTAATAAAGTTACAACTTGTAAGCTGTTGGTTACTCGAGCTTTGTGTGACAGACATTAATGAGTTACCTACTGTATAATTACCGTGGCTTAAGAGAACCCGTCCAATTACACACAATATACCTTTGCCGGAAACATAAAAACCGAGGAGAGTCATTAATATCTTTTAAGCGTACACGAGGAATGATTTAGCTTTTTTCATATAATAATGGTGTGTAGACAAATAAATGTAGGATTTTTTTTCTTAGCTCATCAACATAGTACCTAGATTTATTTTACATCCAAGTTCTAGAAGAACAACGATTCGAGTCTTATTGGTTAGAAGCAAAACCATCATTAATTTGGCGTTTACAAGGCTTCCCTTGCAAGGTTTACCCTTGCTCGCTGGTGTTTTCATTATTTTTACACTTTTATCATTAATCATCAGGCACGCACACATAGTTTTTCATTTCCAAAAAAGTCATTTCGCACTCTCTTGATAATTCCATAGGCGGTTCAAACACTATTTATAATTTACTCTTACCTAATGGTCAGCAACGGCGGTGTCCTGTATGGAGTCTTGAGCCTCACTCTGGGTATTAGTTCTCGGTCGTGCTTTCTGAGTTGGTCCCAACAGAACCGATGGAAGAATTGATCATCTTCGTCGTCAGACTTGACCGCTAGACCACCGGGATCACTCGGTATCCGCCTGGAAACGCATAACAACATGAAACTATTTGATTGTTATCCATAAAATCAAAGGTACGTGTTATTGCAAACAAAAATATTCGTCAATTAGTTAAATTTTAACTGTAATTTTGTTCTATAGCAAAACTACATACTATTTTAAATTTACTACTAACTAAATTTACTACTACTAAAATTTTACCAACTAACTAATAATGAAAAATAATTAAACGCAATTTTTTCTTCTAGACAGTTGCGCTTTCTCAGTACACGATGTACAGTGTATATTGTTATTGTTTTGTTTATTTATTTTTGCAACTTGTTTTGTTGTCATTGCAATTGGCATTGCGCAGTAAAAATATATAGTTAGTTTTTATTATCTTCGAACATAATAGGAGGTTAGAGATAATGGATCAAATTTGGATTGTGAGTTTTTAATTTTTCTTATTTTTATGGCGTAGAATGGCATTCAAAAAATGGGTAAATGTATACTAATCATGAGAACTATAAAAAAAAACGCTATATTGCTACAAAAATAACCTATTAGACTACTTTCTTTTATTGTAAATTTTCTTTCTGAAAATAAGAAAAATAGTTTAGATGGCTTGGATTTTTAAACTGTTAGTTTTGTAGAACGGTTTTTCAACGTTTAAATACACATAAAAACGGTATCAAAAAGCGTGCAGTGTTTTTTTTTCTTTAGAACAATCATTTATACATTTTGTTCTTGAAAAAAAAAATACATTTATATTAAGTAGTCTGATGGCGCCTTTTAAACATCCACCACTTTAACGTTTAGGAAATGGCCAAAATCCATTAGTATAACATTTACATTTTTTTTTTGTTGTTTCCAAATTAATGAATTTATATTTTATCTCCGGTTTTTAGTAATATCCAAAACGGTAAATTGTTTTTTTTTTTAGCTTTCATGTGATATTTTTTGATAAATTGATTTGAGCTGTACAGCTTGAATATTTATAATACACTTCAAAGTAAAAAATACCTATACTGATTTTTACACGTTTTAAAATAAAATGATGTATTTTCTTCAAAAAAAAAAAAATATTAGTTGTTTTTTATTAAACCATAAATGAATAATTAGTTTAACAAAGACAATAAGAAATGCAGAAACTTTCCTCGCAGAACATTTAAATAATTAATTTGTGTGTTGATATTAATTATTCGAGCCGATTTACTCGGTTCTTGTTTATTTATTTTTTTTTAATTTTATTTTAGTTATTTTTTATAATATTGTCTTTTTTGTTTTAATACACAAAAGTACAGAGTGCACTTAAATTAAAAAAATGTCGGCTTTATTACTCGAGGGGTTTTTTTTTTTGATAACTAGTGCTGTGGTGTATAATTTTACTAAAAGCGAATTTTGATTTTGTATTCTGCGAATCGAGTCCATTGTAATAAATCGATCCTTAGCGCCTGGCTGACAGGCAACTTATTTTACACGGCCGTCTGTTTGATTTCGTGCGAACGGCGTGTCTTTGGCGGCAACGACCTATTCACAGTCTAATAAATAACACAACAAAGACACACTACCATAAATCTGTACGGTGAACTCTGTTTGGCATACTGGTTTGTAAGGGAAAAATCAAGTGTTCACTATTTTGTGTATTCAAACATGTTTTGGGTGTGAATGAACCCAATTATCCTAATCAGAGTAACCTATCAAACGAAGACACGTGTAACGCCTTTTTATTTATTATTTAACAATAGGAGTGGCCAATTACCAGGGGATGGCGTTGGATAGAGATAGAGGAAGTGTGCGTGCAGCAACGAGTCTGAATAATGTCCCTTAAAGCTGAAGAAAGAAAGAATGAAAAAAAAAATGTCACACTTAAAGATCAACCGACTTGCAACAAATTGCACTATTTCTAATTATGAACTACACTTAACGCTTAAGACTTGACCTAACTATGAACAGTTTTCACACACAATGCTCTCGTGTAGTTTTTTCATTTATAAACCCAATTACCATACAGGACAATACCCCGTACATAATTCATTTTACCTTTTTCTATGCGATTTTGTGTGTACCAAACGATTTCAATATTATGCAACTGAACAAAATATTCTAGGTTAAATCGGGTTTTACCTACGTTGTTTTTTTTTTTTAATAAAACTAAATAAACCGACGGTTTGCACTTGGGTTCACTGTAGGTTCACCTAGAAGTTATGTTTCTCGTGACTTGTGAAAAATGCAAGCATACCGCATAATTATTGTTCGTTGCGACAATCGACCCCCCCCCCCCTCGTGTACACTATATAATTATTTTTACCGACTACTAAGGACCCGTTTTGTTTATTACATTTCTTGCGTTTTGTACAATACGAATAATGTTAATAATCTACTTGTATGCGGACGTGTATTGTCAGGAGGTCAGGTGAACAAAATGCGAGCACTCGGCCAAAATGGAATGACCGAAAAAGGTTATACCTACCTCTATTAAAATGTGTGTATCAAACGCACCCCTTACAGGAAAGTAGGCAACGGGGCGGGGTAGTGTTGGTGGAGCAGGGTTTGTGGTATGTATACTGGTATACTGTGTACTGTGTGCGTATCATATACTTGTGTGTATATTTTCCATCACTCCACGACACGGTATACCGACAAACAAGGCGGTTTTTGCCCGAGGGATATTGGCTTTTGCCCCATGAAGTCAACGTTAATCCCTTTGCTCGCGTCAGACGGGATTTAACCCGGATATATGTAAAACAAATAGAAATATATTCTAAGAACTCTATTGAGTGTGTATCCAACTTGAAAGCATCTTCGCCAAAACCCGCAGGACACAGTGCCAGTGTTTTATACGGAGTAGTCATTTAATATTCGGTATTGTGTCTTGTTGTCGTCCCCTTTGGATACAATCCAATTTCGCGTTTAAGCACCATGTAAACCGCCAAACAGCGACAGACTGAGCAAAATATTATACTCGTTATAATTGGGTTACAATTTTAAAACATCAAAATTTAAAAAAAAAAATGATTTTCGTTGGTGTTATTTGATAATAGGTCTTTGTGGTAAACGCGTTTGCATCTATCACTTCTAACAGTCAACACAGCTTTTGATTAAATTTTTTTCAAAGTATTCTAAATGTAAAATAGTATGTAAAATGACAATTCAGTTTGGGTCCCACGCGAGCAATTTATAATGAAATGTATATCCTAAATTAAATTTACTTCGACGAATATTAGAAGAAAAAAAATGGAATATTCATCGAAATGCAAAACCTTTTAGATGCTGATTTTCAAATTATTATCTATATTTAAATCCTAAACATTATAATGATTTCCTCGGCCACTATAAACGATTAATATGGTAATATTATGAGTTTAATTTTTGTAATACATAAGAAATCGGTCAACATATACATTATTTACAACACAAATTGTGTGTACCTAACTACTAAAAAATGGGTACAAATGGGTATAAATGTGCGCTAAAGAGCAAATACGAATTTATTGTATTTAATCAAGAATAAATGTAATTTTATCATTAAAACTATGTTGTGGTCTGTAGAAAACAATATATTATACTTGAACATTTACCGCTGTTAATAAATACACCTATTTTCCAAGATGATACCATCGAGCAGTCGTGGCCGAGCGGTTAAGGCGTCTGACTAGAAATCAGATTCCCTCTGGGAGCGTAGGTTCGAATCCTACCGACTGCGATCAATTTTTTTAATTTTTTTCCCCAATTATTTGTTCTAATTATATTTAGTTACGCCGTCATATTTTTTATATATATATATATAATATACAGGGTGTTCCAGCATGAAAGGAAAGTAATATTTGTTGATTAGACATCTGGGGGACCCCCAAATAAGCCCCCCGTTTTTATTTTTTCGATAAGTAAAAAGTTGAAGGTTTCGACAAATAAGTAAAAAATAATGACTTAAAAAAAAACAGAAAATTATTCCATGTCATTCAGTGCAAAATGCTCACCTTAAAAGAGGGGTCACATCATTTTCAGTCTTTTTCAGCCCCCAACTCTTCTCTTATCACTTACCTTATCATTTATTTCTTACCTCTAGTCTAATAATTTATATCTTATTACTAATATCTTATCTCTTGTTTCTAATATTTTATCTCTAATCTCTTATTTGCCCCTATCTCTTATAATTTATCCTCTAATATCTCATAATTTATCTCTACCATTTCTCTTTTATCTCTTATCAATTATGTCTTAGCATTTATCTTTTATCACTTATCATTTATTTCTGATCTATCCTTCCATGCTGGAACACCCTGTATACTATATAATATAATATACTTATTGTATGCTAATAATTTGATTTTAACATTTTTACATAAGGGGTAGTAGGTATTATGTATTGGGTATATAATATACTTATACATAATTAACTTTTGCAAATTAAGTATGACCGAGTATTTTTTATATTATACAATCAATTAAATTCATACGGAATACTTAATTCGAAAAGTTATCAAAACGCATAGTTCAAACTCGTCTTATAGTTTCTATTGTTCTTATAATTTATGATTTATATTATGTACTCGCTTATGTCTAGTTTTTCCATCTTTATACAAATCTGTGGATTCAATTGAATTGACCATTCTTTATTTTTACCACAGTTTTTTGTCTGTAGCTTTTTACTTTTTATACACTGTAACTCTCAATCTGATGTCTTCCAAAGGTCTTAACAAAAAGGTTTTATCGCAAACGCCTATCTCTTCCTGTTAACTTTTCAATCCTCGATAATAAATCAACTCATCCGGATAAACGTACAACTCAATCATGCTTAGTGATTATTTATTAAATGGTGTAGGATATATGAAGATAAAATGCAAAGGTAAAAATATATGTATATTCAACGCACAATTGTTGATTCATACAAATTTAAAATACCGGAATGACCTGAAAGGGTCAGCGAATAGCTATCATATTTAATTACAAAAGTCGTTTAAAAGTTTTTCCATCACAGAGTACTCGAATAACTTCCAGTTGACAAAAAAAAAAAATGTTATTAAAACGCTTTTGCATAA